ATGGAAGTATAAACAGATTTCATGTTAACATGCAAGTGAACAAACAAAAACACAAATGTATGTAACATGCAAGTTGACTGCAATAAATCTGAATCAAAGAGGAGTACATTGTACGTAGAGTCAGTCCCAAAATATCCAGTGTACTACATGTGTAATACTGCGGCCATGTGCTACGTGTACATGTAGTTTATCATCAGTTGAGATTTGATGTTGTTGATAAAGTTTTGTCTGTATAAAACACAGATTCATGTACCTTTCTTTTGTGGACAGTGTGAAAGTTGCCTTTATTATATTTCAGTCCACACCATGGTACATGTATGGATGAAATAGACTGTTTTCCCTTATGTTTCTTCAGACTTTCTTCTCCTGCTCCTGTCATTTCGTTACAAAGTCCTCCATTATTATTTGGCCAGATACATGTAACATGAAATTTGGCATGTACATGTAGGTACATGTAGAGTGGCCAAATAACCCCAGAATTTTTCAGAATTTTTTTGATACAGGCTTTTCAAATTGTTTCATTAAGATTTTTTGGCCATTTTCTAGCAAGATGTACATTTTGGGATCTGGAGCCAGGTAGTATTAAATCCGAATGACCTGAAATTTGGCACGCTTTTGACATACATGTACACCACTTCAAAACTGTGTAAAAACGTTTGGCTCCTGTGCCCTGATATTAAACCTGAATGACCTGAAATTTGTTATGGGGAAGCCTTGGACACATGCCCACAGAACATCACTCACAATTTGGCATACACTACCTAAAATTGTGTAAAATGGGACTTTTTTGCTATTTTTCACCAAAAATGTACATTTTTGGTTCCTGTGCACTTATACGAAAACCAAATAACCTGAAATTTGGTAGGTGGGAAGCCTTGGACACATGCCCACAGAACATCATTCACAATTTGGCATACACTACCTAAAATTGTGTAAAATGGGACTTTTTTGCTATTTTTCCTGAAATTTGGTACGTGGGAGCCTTGGACAGATGCCCACAAAATATTATTTTGTTTCATATACTGTGTTCTGTAGTTTTATATTTCTATGGTTTAGTGACTTTTTGCTGGATTTTTTTGGCAGTGTAAAACAAGTAGGAGGGAGTAGAAACAGGAAAACCCCTGCCTCCCGGGATGCCGGAATCAAACCCACACCGAACCCCGGGCAGCCAGCTTACAACAACTACATGTACAAAAGGACCAAGGACATGACCTGAGGCAGGTAAGGCAAATAAGGCTAAAGGACTGCTGATGGTCACTCAGTGGTAGGTTTACTTTTTTTAGTGTTCTGCAATATTTCAAAATGTCAACATTTTGTTCTGCTATTCAGAAATGTTTTCTGCAAATAATAATACATTTTTTAAATCTTTTTTTTTAGCTTAGTACTAGTAGAATGTAGCTTAGTACTAGTAGAATGTTTATATAGCAACAACAGCAAAGAAGTACAATGTACTTAATTTCGCCCCTATAGCTAGAAACTGCATTAGCTGGGTTAAGAAGCAAGATACGCTGTTTGCACAGACCTCCATATATACAATGTTCCTCCACACGTAAGCAGGGTCAGTGGGGGTCAGCTAAACATGCAACATTCAAAATACAAAATGTACTTCTTACTAGGACACTCAATGACAAACCACTGATCATACCCCTAGACTTGCGCAAAAACCTTGGCATGGGATCTATATTCAGTAGATACAAAGAAAGAAACTAGACAAATTGAAAAAGGTACACACAAGATTCTGCACGAAAAACTATAAAAGGGATCGATACTAGTGTCACAGAAATAAAAAGAAACCTACATTGGGTGTCACTGGAAGACAAACAAAAAATGTTCAGTCTATGCATGATGTACATAACTACATGTAATTAACTGGTAGATGTACCAACAATATAATTATGTGTATTAGGTAGTCATGCCTTCAACAAGTTCAAGTACCAGAGTTTTCAACCAAGGATTGAGGTGTTCCAAAACTCATTTCTTCCCTAGAACTATGAATCGTAGAGACTTTAATTTGCGGCCACTAAGTACAGTTGGGGCATCATCACTTAAGATATCTTTAAACAGTGTTTTAAGTCAGATGTGCAAAGGCTAAGTGTAACAAGTCATTCAGCATAATGTAGCCAGCTGACAACACGCCATGTGCCTGCCGGTATAATATACAGATACAGATTGGCAGATACTTCATCCCACACCATTTACATACATGTACCTTTCCAGCTCGTATGCTGAAACATAGTAGGTCTGGAACACCATGTCATGTGCCAGGTACCCGGGCACCCAGCCCGCTGATTCTTCCATCTTCTTTCTCCAGCTACTTTGTTCCATTCTGAAGTCGTGATACACTTGGGCCACCCTGTAGTTCCCCTCCATTGGCAATGTTGTGTGCCTCTGGTGAACCAAAAACACACTACAAGCAACTCCAAATTTCCTTCATGAGAGTAAAACCCAAGCTTTCTCACAGCTCAATCTTGCAAAATGCTGCACAAGTCTGCAGTAGAACTTCAGGACAACTCAGGTCAAGCTATAACCTATAATTATCTCTGATCCAGGGTTGAACTGTGCAACAAGGTTTTGCCCTCCGGGTATGTATGTGCAGTAGTCATGACAGATAAGAATCCACTTGTCTTGTGTACAAGGGAGTGTTCTACCCAGCCTGAATTTTTTTCCGTCATCTCAATTTTGTTTCATGTAATATCATGTTGAGCGCCAAATGCGTGAGTTGTCGCACTGGAGGCAAAACAATCCTGCTGGGTTTTAGTGGAAAATGTTTAAGTCTTGACCCCCTGAAATGCTATTTCCTGCATCTTGAGGGCCAAATTTTGCTGGTATTACTAAGGCCACACCAATTTAATTTGTTGGTTCTCTGATTTTTCCAGAGAAAATATGAAGCGAAAGGGAAAAAAAAAAGAAAACTGACCAAGGCATACTATTATAGCCCCAAATGCTATGATATAATGAAGGAGCCATGAAGTCAACACAAAAGGCTGGGTTAATATTTTTACAGTGGACTTTGAACTTCAAACTACTGCATAGATAGATGGAAAACTGTAACAACTAGGAAGAAAAGGACTTTCGTCAACTGTTGGGGGCAAAATATGAGCATTTTTTAGTTGATTCAGAACCAGAATCTTTTTTTTTTTGCAAATCATAAAAAAATTAAGACGCAAATCCGAGAACCAACAAATTAAATTGTTGTGGCCTAAGCTTAGTTTAATGACTTCTCTTTTCATATTCTTTCATGCCGATTTTCATCGGTCATGAGCAACAAAATTCCTTCAAAGACAAATTATCAAAAGACAGGTGCTGGCTAGAACACTGGTACATTGTACATGGAAAAGATTGTCTAACTTTGACTGTTCACGACAATCTTATTTTCTGGCCAAACTGTGATGGGGGTGCCCCAACTTCGGACGGATTTTTACTGATCTTATTATAGAAAAGTATGCCGTGTTTGTTGCCACTAACTTTGCTACTTAAAAAGGTAAATAAACATAGTAAATGCATACAGCTGTTATTTGCATGCAAAGTATAGTTCTATATATTCATGCATCATTTAGTCGAAAAACAGAACATCGGTCATTTTAACCAATCATAACAATGGCGCTTAAAAGAGGGTCACTTCGTAGTGGCGGCTCGTGAAATAGACGTCCTTTTCCAAGCAGTCACACACCTGCTACATACATAAGAACATACAGATTTACCAAAGTGCTTGTTTAGTAGAAAACCGGCGTGAAATAATAACGTCAACACCACTGTCGTCTGTATTACCTATGATTCCCTTGGCGCAACGTTGATTGCATAAGCCGGGTTTTCATTGGAAACACAGACTGATTGCGTTAGATACTACTCTCCTCTCGTGAGACGAAAAGTACACAATTTTACTGTCAAAAGTAAGCTGAAATATTGTAAAATTCCATTCTTTGTTTGTTTGTTTTTATTTGTTTACCCAGGGTGTACATATCGCCACTAAGGCGTTTTTCAATGTGCCCTGCAGGCATACATAAATAAAATATACAAGAAAATAACAGATATAACAAAATGATAAGTCAACTTATAAGTACAAATTAAAGTCAACTTAGTACAAATGAAAGTAAAAGTACTATATAATGCCGCAACTCAGTAAGGTGGTAATAAAACAAACTTGTCAAACCAAGAAGCGTCCGAAGTTAGGACACACTGTCTAGCGTAGCCACATTCTCAAAGGTACATTCACGAAAACGTCTCAGTGGCCTAGTGATGCATACCTAAACCCAATTTTAGGTTCAGGTCCGGATTCAAGTCCAGAGGTTTAGGTTCAGTTCTGGACTTGTAAGTCCGGACCTAAACCCAAGGCATATACAAAATTGCATGTTGGCAACCTTGCAATGTTGTCTGGGTGAAACTTTGGCCACATAACATGGAGGCCGGTACTTGACGATGCCCGATGGCAATGTTTTCTTCGTTTTGCAGCAAAGATTTTACAATCTACGGAAGGATTTAGGTGGTTTGGAAAGAAATGGGGTATGTGAAATGGTCTTTTATGGTAATAAGCCCGGACTCGGTTCTTGACTTTTAGGTTTTTTTGGACTTGAACCTAAACATTCTTACAAGTCCGGATCCAAGTCCAGTGAACCGGTATGCATCACTACACAACGGTCTCACAGAGTTTGTCACTTGTAATGCAGAGCGTGAAGGGCTCATGAATAGTATGAATGTATTCCTTTAATATCAAAGTATGTTGTTTACATTAATGTTCTCAAAATTCATTCACCAAAACCTGACCACTGTCCGACAACTAGCGATAGAGTGCTGTGCGTTCAAGCGCGTAAAACAGCATCCGATGTTAGGGCACTCATTGTTATGTGGAAACCCTCCTCCTCTTATTCTCTCCCCTTTCCTGTCATTTCTACTTATGTGAAAAAATCCAAACAAGGTTCAAAGTGCCATAATATTCCCAAAATCCTGGACAGCCAGGGGTTGACAGTTTTCTTGTTTACTGCCAACCAGTCCAGGTCTCCAGGCCTTAAGACCAGTCATCAGGTCAAGGCTCAGGTCAATCCATCAGATGAGACAAATGATTGAGGCAAGCAAGACTACCACTAACAACAGACACCCAACACTTTTGGTAATCTTATTGTTACTGTAGATATTAATGGTCTGTAATTAGTGATGCATACCTAAACCCAATTTTAGGTTCAGGTCCGGATTTAGGTTTAGGTTCAGGTCCGGACTTGTAAGTCCGGACCTAAACCCATGGCATATACAAAATTGCATGTTGGCAACCTTGCAATGTTGTCTGGGTGAAACTTTGGCCACATAACATGGAGGCCGGTACTTGACGATGCCCGATGGCAATGTTTTCTTCGTTTTGCAGCAAAGATTTTACAATCTATGGAATGTTTTAGGTGGTTTGGAAAGAAATGGGGTATGTGAAATGGTCTTTTATGGTAATAAGTCCAGACTCGGTTCTTGACTTAGGTTTTATTGGACTTGAACCTAAACATTCTTACAAGTCCGGATCCAAGTCCAGTGAACCAGTATGCATCACTATCTGTAATATCAACTTTTTTAATATCTATTGATAGGAAATTATGCAATGGCCAAAGCCCTGCATTCATGATCAGTGGGTTGTGATTTCGATCCCTGGCAGTTGTCAAAGAGTATAGAAGTTAAAAATACCACTACCAGTGCAATTCATGTAGTGATTGCACTACTGTGTACATGTACTAGTGATTGCACAACTGTGTGGCCCAATGGCTATTGAACCAGAGATGGGTGCTGCCCTATATATCATGTGATGCAGGAAGCACTTTAACTTACCTAAGTTAAATTCTGATTGAAATATATACTTTACTATATCCTTGATGTTAAATGAAAGAGTCATAAAATATAATGCCAGTATAGCAGCCCCCCAGGCACTATCAGGACTTAGGTGTGTGTAGCTCCTTTGTTCCCCCTCCACTCTCACGTTTGCCTACATGTGAAACCTGCAGGCACAGAGAAGACCTCACGTGTGACCCTACACTGGCCTCGGGCAGCACAGGACTATCAGACTTCAGTACAGTGTTCTAGCCAGGCCTTTTTAGAATAGGGGCCGCTATGCTATGATTTTGACCCCCTGTGCTGTCTTTCAACCAGCATAGGGGCATTTTGGGAGGGAGACCCTTCAGAAAATCTTGCAAAAAATTAAAATATAACTTTAGAATGAAGCTACAACAAAGTGAAAACCTTAAATTCACAAAATCTGTTCCTCATTAAAGAAGAAATAGTGTCTCAGGTAGCCTGGTATCCAGTCTGATCGTGATTGGGGGTATTGGGGTGTTCAGGCAGGTTGTGTCTTCGGGGGCTCTAATAGCTTCCCCCGCCCAGTGCAACAGGCCGTCCTGGTAGGAGAGTTACGCTAATAAGAGACAGTATGCTTGGGGATTTGGTTTCCCCCCAACACATAAGTGGAGGGCCAATCAATCTTTCATGAAATACACACCGGGGAAACCTATGTGAGGCGGGCCGGCCAAAGCTCCTACGTCCTGACCACGATCAGACTGGATACCATGCTATGTCTCAGGGGGTTATGAGTTTCAAAATATTTCGGCTTAATGCGTGATTTGCGCCACGAAAGTTGCTCTTCTGTACCTGACCCCTATGCTATGAAAAAATCCTGGCTAGAACACTGCAGTGGCAAAACTGTACAACAGCTAATCAAGACATCCCATTGTGAGGACCAGTGTTCTAAGGCGTAGGAAAAAAATTCCTGACCGACCCTAGAAAAAAACTAGCCTTTTTTGGATGAACCCCTGCAATGGACATAAATATTTCGAGCTGATATATCTGACGGTCATGACACCTGTAATGAAACAATTGTACAGTTTTCCAACATCAACATTGAAAATATAAGTGTCCTCATGCAAGTTTTACTTTGTTGTATAAGTTGGATGACAGGTTGGAAAAAAAACATATAATCCCTCCCTACCAACCCTAATTTTTTTCAGGACTAAAACAGGTAGGTCTTGATGAGACCTCAAAATGATTACATTTTGGGCCCCCTGGCGGCTTGTCATGGTACTGCAGCAGAACTTCCGGTTTTGATATCTCATGATTCAGACAAGCTAGGGTAACCAAATTTGGATGGTAGATAGCTCTTGTGCTGGGGATAAAGTGACATGAGTTTGAGCCCCCTATTTGCTTGCTCTAGAACTGCAGTGGGGTTTAAAGGACAAATGTTTAAAAGAGGATAACTCAAGAACCGATTGATGGATCATCGTGAATTTTGGTATGTAGGTAGCTTAAGTGATGCTTGACATAATGACATTACAATTATGCAAATATGAATGTAATTTGCATAATTAATGAGGAAATTCTATAAATGAGCTGCATCCATTATTGGAAGTCCAAGCTTGTAACATATGTTATTAAGGACGAGAGAAACACAGGCAGATATCGATTATGCAAATGAAGACTTAATTTGCATAATTCATGAGAAAATGTTATAATTGCATGGTGGTAACTGCCTGGAATTTCATACTTGGGGTGTTTGAGAATTAAGTGAAGGTGAACATAATTAAACATAACATACTCAAATAAGGACCACATTTGCATAATTTATGAGGAAATGCTATGATGGCATTCTTTGTTAAGATAAGACTGTCTTTTGGTGTAGAATATGATCACCAGATATAATTCATGCAATTGAGGATCCTATTTGCATAATCAGGGGGATTAATATATAATTTCTTATTCATAAAGGCTAACATCATTTGGCGAAGGTATGAGATCATGGAACTCTAGTTGTTTTTATTTTTTTCGCCCGCCCGCTCCATTATTTTTCTAGAAAAATCCGTTAACCAAGAAATTGAATTGGTGTGGCCTAGGCCTAACTCCATGTAGCTGGCTTAAATCTGGCCAGGCTGCTTCCGACCTTGGTCTGCTGGTGTTGGGGGATGAGGTCGTGTTGGGGGAAGAGGTCAGGTCATGTGACCTGAATTTGTGACGGAGGCTTAGCAAATACTGTAAATCACTTTATATTCCCTGTAGCAAAATTTCGTAGCAAAACCGCGAATATCAATTGATTTACAGTACTGCTATATCATTGTGTACATGTATGTTAATGATAAAATAACATATAGGCCCCGAAATCCTTTTTTTTTCCGTAACATGCAAAATTGCATGTTGAAAGTTTACAAATTTTAATTTAACAAAATCCAGATGCAAAATTACAGTTAATTCAGCCTTCAGTCTTCTCTAGATATACAACAAGATACATAACAAAATCTCAACACCTCGTTCTTATGATAAAGGGAAATTTTACACAGTAGAACCGGGTCCTGGTGAACCTAGAAGAACACCTCACTGCAAAGCTGACAAAGGTCAATAGACATGAGAAAAACAACTGGGAGAAACAGGAAAGAAACACTGTATTACGTACATTTTAAACTGAGTATAGCAGTGCTATGATAGCAACATAGAAGTGACTATTATTCCATTAGTCTGAAGGGAACACTGTCATATTTGTTCAAGATGCAAAATTCAAGGTCTTTTCAGAATATTTTCACATGCAAATCTTGAAAATCACATGAAAATTGCAAGTTGGATGCGGGTATATATATGTATATATATATATAATTGACCAACCATTGGGCAGATACTACATGTATCATAATGCATGATGCTTTAGTCAATCTGTGGCATTCATTGGCTGCTAAAGGTCACTCTTAAATATCCAATGTAAAATTGTATTAGCAATACTACTAAAATAATTTGCCATTGTTTTCTAATCTACTTAGTGATGTCATACAGCGAAAAACATATTTTTTGCTCAGCATGGCATCATCATGTTATGGTCAGTCTGTCCTAACAGTTTTCCCCAGTGTCACACATACATGTACATGATACAGACAAATCGGTTTGGAACTTATTTTCTAACCAGAGGTCGGAGATATCATGCCTTCATCACAGGGACATTGTTCTAGATAAATAAACTTTTTTTTACTAATCAATTTGGTCTAGAGTACTAAAGAATCGCTGTACTCCTTTTTTTTGGTGACGTCTCTGGAACGGTTGGTATAGTTTAAGTCTCACTTAGGCGAGAGTGGAAATATATAATCTATGAAACACTTGTGACATTTGTAATTGAGAAAGACAAGATCTTTTAAAAGCAGATATTGATTATGTAAATGAAGACATAATTTGCATAATTAATGGCAACTATACAATGTTATAGTGGTAATTGCTGGGAATTTAGTAGTTGCCATACTTGAAGTTCAGTGAAGGTGAACATCACTTAACATAATTTATTCAAATCAGGTCCAAATTTGCATCATCTATTAGGAAATGCTAGAATAGATTTATCTCTAAAGTGCATGTTTATTATCATATCCTTGTGAGAAACTTATGACTGGCTCACATACTTAAAAAATAAACAAGCACCTCCATCAACAATAACCAAAACAGACATCATGATCAGCCTAAGTTACTTGATTTTGGACTGTTACTGGAAGAAAATAACTGTTACCAAAAATTCTGCTTGCTGTATTATTATCAGAGTGTCACAACAGTATTGCAAAAAAATGTAATAAGAGAAGATGTGATGAAAAGAAAGAATCAGAACAGGGCGAGATTTATTGCTGTTTTTTGTTTGTTATTACACTTGTTCTTTTATTCAATTTGCATCTTAATTAGATTTTATCGGCCCTTCACGTGGACGTCACCCATAAAAATTACTTGGTCTGGCCTTAGGGAATGACCTGACACATGTCCAACATTTCCTCAGCCCCTCAATTGTAAGCAACTGATCCCAGATGGGGGGAACAGCTGTCCCCCAGCTGAATCCAAGCAGAGGTTGGTGGGGGAAGATTGTTATATATCTAACACAGAAGGTCCACTGCAGCAACGTAGGGACCCCCCACAAGGCCTGTTTTCGAACTTGACCTTGACTTGCCTGCCAAAAATCATGAACATATGCAGTATTTAGATATAATCGAGTTATCCTGCTAACAAGCGACAAACACAATAGGTCCACTGCAGTGACATACGGACCCCCCAAGAAGCCCATACTTGCACTTGACTTCAGTCTCAACAACTGTAACCTGCCTGCCAAAAATCATGGACGTCAAACCATGCCTTCAAGATTTATTCCCCTAAATCCGCAGTCACCCACACTAAGACCTTCTGATGAAGGCAAAGACGTGGAATCTCTAACACATGCTCTGTATGTCATTTTGATTGCAACTTACATCATTTTCATGATATAAAAAATTAGCAAAAAATGCATTATGTAAACCTGGTGCCTTCGAACCAACTTACACAAGTTTTTAACCACACCACTGGATCAGGGCAAGCCCTTTGGCTAGTTAGGCTACCCTGGATGTGAGGGTTAAGCCAAACCAATCCCAATAAATAAATAAATAAAAAAAGATTTCAGGAGTTATTGGGATTTTCTATACAACCAGAGATTTTTCCTACCTTGCTTACAATTCGGTTTCTATCAGACACCTTCCTCAAAACTTTGAAGCAAAGTAGGGAAAATATGCAAGGAAGGAAAAATCCCTGCCTGTGTTAAAGAAAATCCCAATATCCTATAGTACCCCAGGCATGTTCTACCAACCTGCTGAAATTATTTTCAAAATTTCAGGAGTGTTTTCCACAATAGCACAAGATTTCCATGAAAGACTGATAGTGACCTTGTCCATAGATTACAAAGGTGTGATGTGGACTTGCTTGATAACTAAAATAAACATATTTCTCACCTTTTGTTTCTGTCCTTTTCATCTTCTTCCATGTCATCATACATGAAGGAAGATTCACTGAAACAGAGGAGAAGCAAACTGTTATTTAAGTGCTCATAAAACCAAAATACGACCTTATCTGACACTATTACCTGGCTAACAGACTGGTTAACATACAATAAACATACACGCTTCTCCTGACATTCAAAATTTCAATGCCCTGCCTCAGAAAAGACAGCACAAGCCCAGCAGACTATTTGCATCTCTTCACCCTGTGATGTCAGCTCTGTAAAAAGCACAGAGATGCAAAAATAAAACATAGAGATGCAAAAAGAGATGTCTGAGGCAGGCGATTGTGAAGCATCTCCAAAATTGCACTTTTGGAAGGCTGTACAAACTCAATTTCTCAGTCATCAATGATTAAAACCAACTTCAAGTGACTGTATTTTAAGTACATTTTTGATATTTATATGTGTTTTACAGACTTTTTTGGTGTCATATGTTCTTTAATCGATCTGGGGTATACATGTACATAT